AAAGAAAGCTCATCATCTTATTGCGATTGCAACTGTTTTAGGAAGAGAGAAGTGTTAAGAATACTGTCAAGTGAAACAATATGTTGTATTTTCTCAATATTTGAAAATACCATTACAGTTTTTACAACCAGGAGTTGTGCATTTTATTCCTCCCACGTCCACCTGCAAAAATAGTGTTACCGTGGCCTGATTTGTCATCATAAACTATTGTGTCATACACCAAGAAAAACATCGTTTTTACCTCTATGGGTGTGTAGTCAGATAACCCAGACTGTAAACTGGAAAGTATTTTTTCCATCACTCTCATTGGCCAGACTAGCAAACTCCATGGGTGTCTGTGTCAGCTGCCTTGGAATTGCTTTTGATGTGATTAGGCTACTAATTAACTSTCTCAATTCTTCTCTCCCTCCTGATGTTTTCTTTTGATTCACTTTGACTCGGAGGAGTCTGCATTCAGTGTATGTTTGTTTTTGTGTTTTGTCTAAAATCCCTAATGATAGCTTAGACTGTCCTCTTTTGGTTGAGAGTTTCCYTCAGTTGACATTTATTTTTCTGTTAAATGCATGCATCACGATTTTTCTTTTAAGAATAGCTGGAACTTTGCAAGGTGTAGAAAAWGTGTATGATCAGGGTGCGTTCATATCGTTTAAAGTGTGCTAAGGGTTTTACAGTCTGAAAGAGAATGTGCATAGTTACTTCAAAACCATCAAAAAACATGATAAATATTTCCTACTTGAAATCACCAGGGAGTAACCTTACAATTAAATATTATGTAAAATCAGTTAAATAATAGCAGAAGTTCCTGTATTAAGGCCCACTTTGCAAGGAAACYGACAAGGAAGTGGTGAAACATGCTAATAGATTATAAGCTATAGCAATATATTGCCTTTTTATTGCTTTTCCACAGGCAGCAGATTCATGTGCAGTTATTACTACCTACATTATCTGCTAGTTTTCTATCAAAAACGATTCAGTCTATTGAATCATTAATCTAATATTTATCATTCTTATTGAAAATCCACTAGTGTTAGCACTGTATAAAATATTGACTTAAATCTACTGGTTGTGCTAAAGATTAAAAACATATTAACCTGAAAAGCATGGTATTTCTTAGGACATTTTGAAACTACTCATTGTAGATGTTTGAAATGACAATTTTTCTATGTTGTCTGAGGAATTATTTTTTTCTTAAATCTTTAACATACAGTAAGTGACCAGTGCCATCCTGATTTGACGATGCTGAATGTTCATCCAACACACATTTGAAATTTTGATGTGTATTGCATTAGTTAGTGAATATCAAGAATAACATTTTTGCTCATACATAGAGTGTAAAATGGGATCTTTTGTAGCAGCACACGGCCTGTTTAGAATGATATAACAGGCGCTGAATGTTCACATATCAAACAAAATGCCATCTTTCTGTAGAAAAGAGGTGTCAAAAAGTTTCTTTGTACCTTTAACGCATGTGATTATGTAGTACAAAATGCAGAGTTTGTAAAATTTCTTGAATATACAGGCAAAAAATGAATAATTCAAAACAACTCATAAGTTCTACATTCTATTGTATCTTTTATAACGCAGGCAGAAGATAGCATTGTGTTCCCAGTAGAGCTGAATTTGCACAAGTTACACCTCGGAAAATGCCAGATGGTCTATGGTCTACTTTTGAGAGCTGTCACATATGTAAAGATTTGAAAAAAGAAAGACAGCTGAATGAGAGCAGTGGATCATTAAAGAGAGAGTGAGAGTCCCTGGGTATCACTGTGTTTTAAGAAGCATTGTGTCGTTCTCCATATTACACCTTTTTTTTTTTTTAAGATATACACAACCTTTAAAAAATAAGGTAAAAATATTTCTGTTCTAAACAGAATGGTTGTGGTTTAATCTCGAAACTGTCAAATGCTTTTGTTCTTTATGCTAGAATGTGRTCATATGGTTCCTAATTGGTTTCAAGTGTGTTTTAACCATAAGATTCAAGTCTCCCTAGTGCAAAATTATCAATAAAGTTAAAATAAATTTAAATTGAGATAACTAATCCATTTGGGGTTTTACTCCATTTTGATTTGACCTGCATATCACATGTGAATACTGTAAAGCCAGTCAGCTAAAAAGTTGTATGTTAATGCTAAAAGACTCAAGTAAGAGTACTTCAGGAACAGGATTAATTAATAAAAAATTAAAATTAAAAAAAAMCATAGAAGTAAAAAATAATAGTAAAAAAATAATAAAAGTAAAAGCATATAGCTGTTTAGATTTTCAAGACTTTCCATTCACCCGCAGTTTGACAGAAACATGCCTAATTTTGAAGATTGAATTTTGGATATTTTGTCAAGTTACTGTATTGGAGCAAAGCCCAAAAAAATGCAAACAACTTGGAAGCTGCCACCACCAATTAAACTGGCTTAAAAAAGGTCATTACTGTCAATTTTATAAACTGTATAAAAACATAGAGAATTTTTAGATTAGTGTGTTGCTTTTGTTTATTGAGGAAGGTTAACTGCTCCCAAGTAATTCTAGTTCATTGGTACAACTGCACTGCTCCTTAGCAGGGAATCATAGGCAATTCAGGGTGAGGAAACATCATTACATGGAACATGAAAAACACTTCCTTGATTATGAAATTTCCATTTAAGTGGRATAATGAAGATAAACCTATGGGGTGCTGTGGACATAAATACTGAATTTTCGAGAGTAAATTATAATTCCTAAAATCAGCAAGGATTTTTGACTGTGGTTATGTCTACATTGACTATTTTTAAAATGGAAGGAATAACTTTTGATTTTTAATAAAATTAATTTTGCACATACATGGAAAGAGAATCTACACAAAGTGTTCCTGGTAATATACTTTTAATAATATTTATTCAGACAGGAGAAAATTCCCTAAAAATTTAGTTTGGTATCCTTATGAGAGTTTGGAAATTTTACCCAAACATAGATTACAAATTGAGTTCCAAGCTGAAGAAAGTGCCTTGCTTATGCTTTTGTTCATAGATTTTGCAAACACTAGTGCAAAATTGAAGAAGTTTCAGCATTGCCAATAAAAGTCTTTGGGCAACAGTTAATTCTTCGGGTCTCAGATAATATGCTCCTGTTTTGTTGGCTTGGAGGTTTGTGAGCAGTTACTGCTGGTAATGGAAGGGAAGGATTGATCTTTATCTTCCCTGTAACATCTTTGGGTAGTCTAAAACATCCAGTCCTCCCTTCTTTCCTGCAGCACAAAATTATCACTTTGGTCAAGGAGGTTCAAGCAGAGTTACTCTAACCCAGATAGATGTGGGCAGTCAAGGCTGTCTTCTGAAAACCTTAGTGGCAGTGACTAAAATATCAAGTGGCCGAAAAGCATGAAACAGTTCATATTTAAACTGTTATGAAAAAGTATCCTTTCTTGCTTGTGAGCGTGACCAGGACATAAGGTTTAAGATTTGCATGAAGTTTAATCTGGAAAAGTTTATGATAGTGGAGGAGGCAATCTGAGACTGGTGTCAGTGTGCTGGATAAAAGGAAAGCATTGAGGGTTTGTTASGCAAATTTGGAACTGAGTCCCTTTAGAGACCATGTCTTTCTAAATTTGTTGGAAAATTTGGTAACTAGTACCTGAAGAGATGAGTGGAGAAGTTTCTTTTAGAACAAGCTAACTATAAATATCTATATGTATTGTTACCTTGTACACAGTGTAATCTATATATGAATCTATACTGTGAAATCATCTGAAAATGGATATAAACCATCTGAAAAGAGAATGACCTGCAGCACTGTTTTTCCTTACTGCTGGTGCTAGTTTCCTGTTTGTTGAGTATCTGATAGGAGCTGGACTTTTTCTTTGACATAACATTTTTAAATAGTTGAAGATTGGACTGTCTGAGAGTTGATTGGGCTGATGCTTTTTTATTGTGAAATCTTGCTGTGTCACTGTGTGTACGGTTTAATTATTTTTCTCCCCATGATGTCTGCATTCTTTTTCTAAATAAGAATTGTTAAATTGAAATAATTTTTTTTTTATTACAAAGCTTTACATGCATGTTTTCTTTAGTTACAGCCTATAGAATACATTACCAATCCCTTTTCCTTGTTGTAACAAATATTCTCCTTTATGATAAAGTAGCTCAACACAGAATGGTCAAGTTTCGTGCACACTCATTAAAATGAGTTTATAATGTACTCTCGGAGACTTAGCCAGGTCACGGCATATTCTTACCTTGACATGGTTTGGGTTTTTTTTTTCTTTGACCATTTTACTATAGACGTTAAATCCCTAACTGGCACATTACAGTCATTTCTAAAATTGTGATTCTGAGTTGAAGAACATTGAGGGGGGACTTCATCTTTCCATAGCTGTGTAGTGTTTGAATACATGTTCCTTCTGGTTACCTCCTCCACAAAACCAGATTTTGSTTGGTTTTGTACTTCCCAATAATCCACAATCTTTATGAATTTAAGTTCAAACTTGTTAGCTACCTGGAWATTCCTGTTCTTCTCTAATGTACTGGTCTGTGATGGCTGAGTGTCATGTCACTCAGGTTATTTTCTGAAGGCTGGCAGGTTGGCCAGCCTGCATCTTAGCCTCTCACTACAGTCTGTATGTTTACTCCTACACTTTTTGTCTCATTTGGGTACATTTTATCCATTATTCATTTGATTCCCCCAGTACAGGTTTATCTCAGTTTTGCTGCTTTCGTTCCACTACTGACTTTTTCTCTTTCTTCTAATTGCTTTCCTTATTCTCTCTGTGTAGTTCACAGAACCTTGCAGACCTTTCCTTCCATTGTCAAATGGGGAGTCCAGGCCTCATGTAGATGTGAGGTGCTTTTTGAATACCTAATGATTATGTTTCATCTAGAGATATGTTTTGYTTTGTTGTCTTGATGGGGGAATGTTGACTTGTCAGTCTGTTTTTAGATCAATATGAGTGAGGAAAGTTGCATTCCCAGTCTAGCCTAAAGTGTGCAGTTATCGATTTACAATTTAAATTAACCCTTTCTTTCTTGCATTTTAAGCACAACCTCAACGTTTGCCTCAGCCAACTACTTCAGCACTGGAAAGGAGTGAGGAAAAAAGTGGCAAAATCCAAAATGGCCACGTGGGTCTGAGTAACGGAAGTGAAATTCACAACGGGGTCAAACACATGCCTGCAGACAACAGAAAGCTTTTGGCTCCTGTTTCAGAAAAAATGCACAGGAAAATTCAGTCCACCTTGTCTGTCAACAGCAACAACAGCAAGAAGAGTAAAATAAGTTCTGTGTTTTCTCAGAAGCCAGGTACTTCACCAGAAGGTAAGCCAATATTCTTAGTAAAAAAATCCCAAATGGAATAAAGACCAACGAAACCTTACTAAAACTTATACAATCAACTGAAAATAATTGAAGGGCATGACTTATGCTCCACAAGCAAATGTACGTTATTAAGATAAAAGACAAGCATCTTGCCCAAAGAAAATATTAAGTATTTAAAGAAAAAGGAAGCAGTGGGAGAGTTCTTGCTTTCAAACGTTTGGTCAACATAATCTGATAATGTTTTWGTCTTTGTACTTAGTATCCTGAACTGGTAGAAACTCCTGTCAACATAGTCACATATGCACTAGAAAAAAAATATTAAAGTACTACTAGTTCAAAGCATAGTAAATATTTAAATCCAGTAATGGCAGGCTCTGTGAGGGTAGACTTTGCTTTTGAAATGTTCTGTTAGCCAATATCCTGACTAGTCATGAGGTCTGAACACTGGATAATAAAATATTGGCTGAACTGTACTTCAGCGTTCAGTGTGCCATATGCTATATTTGGGAAGTATATAATGTGCGTGAGAAAGCTTCATGYTCCTTCAGCACAGCTTAAATAAGCAAAAGTAAATAATTTCTCTTAGGTTTTAGCTGTGTCTCTGTGTTCTTACTGCTTGCATTTACAGTCATGGTTCCAGAGTTCCTGAGTTTCTTCTCAATCCACTGTGTTCCGATTAGCTCTAATATACTCAGTGGACTTACTATTGCCCTTAACAAAAAGAGTGTAGAAGAGCTGGAAATTTTATTGATTTGAGGCAGACATAGATGTGACTGGTTAAAAAAATCACCTCCAGAGGGAGGGGACAGACACAGATTCTCAGAGAAATGGGAGACAGTAGTGTTCAGTGGACTGGGGAGGATTCTCAGATGAAAGGAAGAGGGATCAGAAGGACCACATGTAGTGGCCCGAACGAAGCCTACTGATGTCAGTGAAGTGACAACTTCAACTACTTTAGTCAAACTCACTCAGTGAATCAATGTGGTGATATCAAGAGCAGCTTCACTCAGACTCTTCCATGGGCTGGTCCCCCTTGCTATGGTTTATTTTCATATTTATCTTCAAGAGCCTACTGTTGTTTTTCTGTTGCACTGTTAGTCCTCTAACACTTCTTTCCAAAATCACAACTTCATACTTCCTGTATTCCCTTTTCTATTTAATAAAATATTCTTATATACTTTCCTTAGTGCACTTTGAAAAAACTGCATCTTATTAAGAGTCCTAGATCTTTTTGTGTAACTGAAACAAAGTGCAGGTCTCCGAATTTCAAGAAATCCAACCTCTAAAAACTAATTGCAGGTTCAAAGAGGCAGTGCCTGCCCTGTTCGTTCCCATATACAATTAATTATGGCAAGCATTTCCTTTTTTCTTCTAAAATTCTCCTTTAATAAAAACGAGTTGTTGGGCTCTTTTTTTTTTTTTTTGTTCAATATCTGGATATGTAATTATGTCAAATTACTAAATGATTGAGTAGAAAATTAATGATACTTTCAGATTTAGCTTTAAATTCTAATGTCTGATTTTAATATCCAACACAATTGTGTTAGTTGCCTGTTATTTTTATATACAGTCAAAAATTTCATTATTCTTAAAGGCATATCTGATTAGGATATAGATTATTAAATAGTGCTTGCATTGTATAGATTGCATTCTTTCAAATCACAAAAATACAGGATGGTCCTGATGTCACATGCAATTTCTTGAGTTACCTAATGGCTAAGGTTGAATGTACTCAACATTGTACATTTAGCCTTGTAATGTTCTCATTTTGGGTGTGAGAACTTGGATATATTCTCTGAATGGCTTGTCCCATTCTGCAAATTTCTGCAGCTCTTAAGTTTTCTGTTACTCTGAGCAAAGCACAGCTTTATTGTGCAATGATGGAAGTATGTCTGGTGTATTGGAATATGACTATGAGGGAATATTTGTTTTTAAAAATGATTTTCTGGTTTTGAAATTTGTTTTGCTTTATAGTTCTCTGACAGATATGTTTTATATTTGTGTAAACACAACTGCATGCACACATGTACAAGCCTTCTGACAGCTCCTTCAGCTTTTCAGTAACGTATCCTATGGGGCTACATGACAGAACTATATAAGTACTATTCTTACCAAGCTGTTGCCTTTCAGGAAGTGTCAATATATACTTCATTTGTTCTACCATCCCAGTGTTTTAGAAGATGCACAATCTGGCAGCGGTCACTTGAAATATCTAAATTAATACAAAAAAGAGCTCCTTATTTAATGGGAAGATGATTTATTGATAACTTTAAAATTACAGTGTTACTAATACAAGTCATGTTAACCCATTGTGGCTACTTCTGGAAGACCGCACTAGAAAAACCTGACATAAATAGCCAAGTTACTTGTTCAAAGGAGTGTAATTGCATTTAAATCAGCAATAGATGTGTATATATATGCTTGATAAATACATATAACTATGTCAGAAGACTATATTAATAAGCTCGGTGGCTGAGGGTTGCATAGGCACTTTTTCTAGATGGTGTACACAATTTGATTTTACCCTGACTTCTACAGGTTCTTTGTATAATAAATATTTTTGGGCAAAGAGGCATTTTTCTGAGCCATTGCCTCTTCTGATTCAATGAAAATTCTGACAAGGCTTACAGGAAGATGGAAAAGATACAAAACTATTGCAAATTATTTGCAACATTGCTTAACTACTTGGCTTTGCTTTAGCTTGTACCATGTTAACCTCATAAGCCATTGGTTACTGCTGAAGAGCTGCTGGGTTTGAATTTACTTAAACTGAAGATTTGCGTTTTTGTTTGGGCACATCTATATAGTGTAATAATTAACTTCTAGGCAGTTTTCTAAATAGTCTTATGCAGAAAGAGACTGTACTGTGGGTATTGGACAATGAATCACCTGAATTAATATCATATACTTACTTTAGTGTTGCATCCACAAAGTTTTAGTAGAAAAAAGTAAGATAAACTTGTACATTTTCAGATATTTCAATTCGCCTTAATTTTGCTATTCCTTATGTAGTACCTTGGGTTTTATATTCTAATTGCAAGCCTTGTTTGTTTTTTTAAACCTGAACCTACACACCCTGTATTTCTACTTCATCTCTCTTGTCTTCCTCCTTAAGTGTTCTGTTGTGGTGTCAGTCAGGAGTCTAACTGAATTAAGTGAAGGAAAGTGGCGAGAGAAAAAAAATTGAATATGTCCTCAGAAGGAAGAGAAGTGAAAATTCCCATTGTCAAGCTGAATTTAAACTATAGAAAAGAGAAAGTATTTTTCTTTTTTTTTTTCTTTTTCCATCCTGAAAGCTGCATTCTTCTTGATTCTTCTTAAAAGACAAGATGTGAATATTTCTGGAGCACCACTTAGTTACAATGGAAGGTTTGTCCAGGTCTGGTACTTTGCTGTAGAATAGTGTATCTGTTGACAAAACAGAAAGCCTGGAAGGGCTTGAATCAGGAYAGAATCAAGAAACATGATGGGCTTGCCCCGCCCCCCCGCCCCCGCCAGCACATGAGCATATTTGGGCCCATGCTTATTTGAAATTAACATGCTGCTTCATATACTGCAGATTTCGATAAGTTCGATATTTACTTTACCCTGGGTAGCAAATCTTCCTGTGAAGGTTGGTACTGCTCCTGTTGGTCTCCAAGTGCTAGACAGCCCTAACACAAGCTGTGAAGCCTCCCAGTCTGCCATCCCTCAAAAATTCACCCACTACAGTTAAGAACTCTTTTATTAATTGTTCCAGCTGCAAACTTCACTTGTGCTGTGGGGTCACATGTGGGCTTTTGAGGCTGAATTTGTGTAGGAAATGCTTGAAATGTAACAGACATTTTGGTAGCAGCAGTATAAAAGCTTTAAAATCTCCTTTTTTTAAAATGAGTCTCTAGTATATATCGTCGTGTCAGCATTCCAGAATATACTGGTTAGAAATACTCACATCCAGTGAGACTTAGGAGGGTGTGAGTGTACTCACTAGCTCTGCTTTTCCTCTGCATCTATTATTAATCCATATTGTCCCTAAAGAAGTCTTATTCAGCTCCATAACTTACACTACAAAAAGCCAAAGGAATTATGAAATAGTTAGAGTGTCACTCCTAAAAAGTAGTTTTTAAACACTGTTTCAGTTCTAAAGATTTTTCAAAGGGACTGGATAGGTTTCRGTGAATATTGGGAATAAAAAAATTTTAGGTCAAAGAAATTTTAATAATATTTAAATTATTGATACTAGAGGTGTCATAGTACTTCCAAAACTCTGGTTGGTAGGCCACTAGCAAAGACAATTGTTACTRTTTTGCACCTCTTTGTTATCAGCAGCAGAGAAAAACACCTTGAAAACATTAAAAAGCAAATGTAATGAGTAAAAAGAGGCCATACACTGATGCTGTGTTCAGATGCATCAGTACCTGTCCAGAGCAACTTAAAGAAGAGAGGGGGCCTAAAGGAGATAGCAAAGAGGCAGGAGAACAGTAGATCTAGATGTCAGGAAATGAAGAAAAATGAGTAACTGAAYACATACAAATGTGTATCAGAGTAGTGGAAGGTAAGTAATAATGGCATGCAGAGTTGGAGTAGGAAAGGGAAGGAGTTGGGCAGGGGGACGGATGGWAAAGGACTTTATTGAAAGGGGTCAGGGGCCAAGATAGGTGCTTATTATTTTCTAAAAACCAGACCCGAGTTTTCCTAACAAATCCTTATAAAGCTTGGTGTTRCTCATCTTTTGAATCAAAGCAATCATTTATGAAAAGTTAAGGATGAAGAGAGGGAATACAGACTTTAATTCCATTTTGACACGGAGCTCTCACTTCTGGTCAAGTTGTTGCAACCTCAGAGGTTACTGTGTTTGGTAAGGAAGTTCCCACAACTCCAATGACTTGATAATTTAAGTTTAATGTGGTACTTCAAGTACTCCAAAGACAGAGCATAAACAAGTGCTGTATTCACTTGGAAACAGTGGCTTGTTAACTGTGCTGAACAGATCATGAGCCGGTCTCCTGTGTGGAGAGATC